GCTGTAATTTCCCTGGCGCCCAGTCTGCGTTTCGATCTATAAGTGCGGCCGTCTGACTCTCTCCCTAACAACTCTCAACAACGAGAAAAAAAACATAATTTTAACAAACCGCTTTAACTCGTCTCCGTGATTCCGAACAGAGCCAAGAACACTTCTAATTGATGCAAAAATGAGATAAAAACTCGAAGTCAAATTCTGTCCGAACACCACCTTCAACGCTTTGAATTCAGAAATAGGTTTCTGTATAATGTTACACAATAGTTAGAAAACTCGTTTCAACTCACTATCACTGCAATCACCACACCCGTCCCCACTCGGTGGTGATTCCATTTCATAATTTTCTGTCTAATTTAAATAAGTAGTAAAATAGCAGGATGCACAACCAAAGCGAGGACCTTTATTAGATTATGAACTGTCTGAGAGAGATCACAATATTCAAACAAACAAAGCAAACTGGTTGAAAAACAAATTGAAACAGTCATACAATGCTGTTGAGTAGGGTGAGAAATGGTAGAAATCTGTTTTTGTGATAGTAACATAAGGATGAATGAGTACGACTAAAACTTTTCTTACGTCTAAATATGCATCTCTCAGGAGCAACGACGCTAACCGTAAACTGACACCGGAAACGGAAACTGAGGCCATTGCAACAGCGCCTACACTGCTAAGCTGTAGCGTTCAGTTTTCGTCTGCCGAATGAATCAAATGGAACAAGGATACAGGCTGGCGCAAGCAATTATATACATAAAGGCCTATCAAGGACAAGTCGGGCACTAGCACTGGTACGGGCGAGATGGTGAACACTTTAAAAGGGATGAAGCTAAGAACGAGGGAGTGATGGCGAAATCTAGGTGGGTAGACGAGATATGGCCAGGACTAGGAGTGATATTTGACTGGCAGAACAGCATTAAAGTGGACAATGTTTCGTAACTACTTCAATTTGCCTACCGGTGGTGGAGATGTGGGCGACTTGGCGGAAGCTTTCTTCCCAAATCCAAAAAGCTTCCCTTTGCTCTCTTTTTTGGGCGAGTCTGGCTTGGCTGAATGAGTAGATTTCGAAGAGCCGGATCCAAATCGAGATGGTCCTGTAGTTGCACCTGCGCCCACTCCTGCAGATGGCGATTTCTTTCCATCACCACTCCTAAATAAAGAAATTTTAATACCACTACAACTAGGCGCTCACTAAGACTCGAGCAAAATTCGTCTTGCTACAGTATGCTCTTGTGAAGCGGAGAACCAATGCAACAGCAGATCACCCCAGGTTTGATTTTGTAAAATTGCATTTCATATCTAAGAGTTAAGTGCTTCCTTTTTTGGTTCGTGTCCATTTCCTATTGTTGAGATAAGCATGAAATTCTGGATTAAATTTTGCCTGCAAGCGTATGACATGCACTTGTTCCGACACACTAAACAGTTAATGCTAGTTACTCAAAGGCCTTCAAAACAAGACCGTAGTCCTATAGTGCGTCTGATTTCCTCTCTGTCGTAGTAACTCTTCTTTATTTATCTGAGTGTTTACTCGTTATTTAGCAGAAATTATCTGCTTCCTATCATCGCTGTAGCAAAATCTAGGTG